TGGCTAAGAATCTTTTCGAATACAAACTTGTTGTGAACCTGAAAACTCAATTCCACTCCATTTAATGTACTTAAACGATAACGAAATTTATGTTCTTTGAGCTTATCGTGCTTTTAGGGCGACCACCTCTACTTTACGACGTGTCTGATGGCTTTTTTTCAAAACTTAAAATCTGAAATAAAATACTTTAAAATATTAATCTCGGATATTTAAACGCGTGTCTAATTTAAAATACACTTAATAAAGTTCTTGTAGATAAATTAATGCAACAATTTACATATCAATGTAACATGAGCTATTCGTGTTTCCTTCTGCTGTGAGGACGACGTGCCGCGATATTCATAAATCGTTTGAAATTATTTATCGCCAGCCGCCCCTAAAGGGCGTGACGACCCGGTTTTTAAGCGCCGCGGTATGATTTTCGAGGTCAAATTCCCCAAAGGTTATAACACTATTATTAAACTTGTAAATGTTTGCAAAATACCAGATTTGAATTCAAAGAATCAATTAAAAGGTTTAAAATAGTGCGGGTCATTTCTTTTAATTACCTGTCACTCGCTTTTTTTTTAATATTTATCCCTGAAACTGATGATTAAGATTAATTCTTTCATTAAAAATTTTGGGGAAACCCAGAAGAACAAACGCATTAAAAAAATAATAGGGTTTAAAAATAAATTAAAATGTCCGAGTATTTCTTATCGTGTGCGATAATGATTCTGTTATCGCACGATGTTGACTATAGCCATCTAGTACTCAATACACAAATAAAATCTTTTTCAGCGTTCGACAAAATGACGCAGAAGTTTGCTTCAGTAGTAGTGGTGATTATGATAGTGCTCCATGAAACCAAAACAAACGTAATCTTCATTATTTACCTATATTCAAAAAAATTTCAAGTCATCTTTTGCCAGGATCAATAGGCTAGATGAATTTACACTTGAATGAAAGCCTCACATCTGTCGATATTTGCATTGTACAAATAGATTAACTTACTTATTATGTTCATCTATTAATAATCATAACACCTGACGCGATGGTTCTTAGTATATATACTTCCCTGATGGTGTCCCTCTGATGGTTAATAGGTAGAAGCTTTAATAAGAAGATGGTAGAAAAGAAGTAAGCACATTAAATAGATGACGTTGTACATTACCAACCTCAAATCCTTGCAAAACAAAACCAATGTCTATATGAACTAGATGTTGCTTATTGTTTGTTATTCGTAGCGGCCATATCCAGTAATGTACAAACTCTATCGTGTTGCGCAGTGATATAGAGTTTGTCGTAATCTATTCTTGGTTTCTGTATGCAGTTCTACAGAACAAATCGAGTTTTGACTTTGTTGTCCAGAACACCGGTTTTTCAATAAGCTTTTTCCATATATGGGCTTCTTCTGAAATGTTGGCTTTTTTATAGGATATCAATGCGCTACTGTTAAGTGCATAATGAGCACAACCTAAGTTCCTTTTGCCTGGCTTGCTCATCATACATCATGCTCATAAAAATACCGTATCAGTTTCTAATTGTTTACGAAACAAACACACTGTTACCAATTACTGTTTGGATTCACTACACAATTAGTATTATTTCGCAACTTTCTGGGCACATAATCTGCTGTGGAATAACTAAAGTCTTCGTTTCCATCGAATAGGACAATATTCAGTTAGTTTTGTTTGCTTGTTTTCTTACTTCATTTATAAGATTTCTGTGTGTTCTAGCTATCTCGTAGCTAGAAGTTTCTACTCGTAGATAGTTGAACTTCATAAAGTGATGGTGCTCACTACGATCTCGCATCTAATGCGTTCCTTAGAAATGATTATTGATTGTGTTTTTTCGGTCGATATCAACATTTTGATCTTGAGAGATGGCAGTAAACCTGTACGATAACCGCTATAAATCGTTATTGCTTTTTGATAATAAAATAGCGTTGTCCGAATAGCACAGTATTTTATAATACGGTTGATTCTAGTGATGGAACGGATAGTGATTTCGCGAAAAGCCGGATACCGGATATTCGGCATTCTCTTCGGCCGGATTTTGCATTATAATTGCTTTACCACATTCCAGGACTTGTTCCTTTTTCCTTACTGTAATGTATTACATATACAAATATTGCGTTGCACGCTGTGTTTTCGTATTTGGATAGTCCAGAATAAGATCACTGAAGTTGAACTTGTTGGAAATTATATGCTGACTGAAGCTGGTGGTGGCAATCCACTCATCTATCCTAATGGTATTGGCATAGCTGGAGAATACCGTCAATACGTTTAGAAGTCGTATCTGATCTTCTTTCATCCAGTTTGGATTTGTTTTTTTACCAATTCTCATTAAAAACTCTGCGTCAGTTCTTAGATTTCTTTAACAACGACTTAAAATATGATGCCTGTTCATTGTAACTACTTCCATTACATGTCATCTTCAAAGAACTTCATTATAAATACTAGACATTAATGTTTTATTAACCCTATATTTAGGCAACCTGACCAGGTAATTTACAGGTAATTGAAAAAATCATATTCAAACAAAGTTTCGTACGATTTCATTACATGTGTTTATGTACTATTTCACATATTCCATCTGACAATAAATCAATCTGTCGACAGCGTTCTACGCAGAAGTAATTCTTACGACTAACTTTCTGCTCAACAATAGCACCATATTTCTGCAACTTTTAAACTTTAGTATTCATTTAGAGCCGTATACAAAATACTAGATCTCCCCCTCCCACCAACATTAAGATCCAAATATTCATCTCCTCGTAGAAATAGCAATTCAACTTTTTATATGATGCCCCTGATTCTCATTTTCCTGAGTAGTTTCAAGCATATGTAGCCACCTTCATATAAAAGTGCTCTTATTTTCCCCCTCATTGCTATAACCTGGACACCCTCTCCTTTAGCTTTTGAAGTAGTCATCATCTTAAAATGTTTCCATAAAGAAGTCCACGCGAGATCTACATCGTAAAAAAGTATCTCATTTCTTTCTGAGCGATTGAATCGTGTTATACCTGAATTTTTTACTTCGTAACAATAAGGATACATATGTAAGTCCTGGTTAAGATCGTCTTTTTGCACTGACCTACATATCTTTAGTGTGATTAGACTGATCCGAAGTCCTTTTTGGAATTTACAATAAGAACAATCCCCGCGATTTGCTTGCATTGGCTAATTCATCTCCGCAGGTAGCTGTTATAGACCTCCAAGAAAGTTTTTTGTTACACTTAACAATCATAACAAAGATCTCCGAAATAATACCATTTGTTTCCGGAGCTTTTCTTCTTTTAATTGTTAAAGTTGCCGCTTCTGCTTTTTGGAACAGAAGAATTTCGCCTCCTACAGGGTTGCTATCTCATAATATTTTGGTATGCACAGAAAACAGATTATTTACCTTCTCTTTGATATATCATCCAGCTCTGCACATATTTCTAGCTTTCTCGCACAAAATTTAATTTTATCTTCGGCTCCTTATAGATAATTTTACCTAATTTACACGGATTTCCCCTTTTTTTCTTTTGCGTAATTATCTTCTAATCTTAACTTTCTAATTCTCTTACATGCCTTGCCTTTCATTCTTAATATCTCGTTCTGACAGCTACCGACAGGTACTGTCAGGTCGAATTATATTATTGTACATTCTATTTCTATAAGAGATACAGAAAAAATGATATCAGTGTCAGAGGCTCGATTTTCGTTTTTCTTTTATTTCCAAAGCCTACTATTTCAAAATCTGCACATATAAGTTTTAAAGTTATATACTTCCAAGAAGGCTTGAATATCGTTCAAGTGTGCTATATTTTTGGAAAGGAAATTTTATGCTCTCGTCGAATTTGCAAAAATATATAGGGTGTTCCATTTAAAAAAATCATTTTTATGTCCATAACCACTAAAATATTGCTGTGAGGGAAAGCTAACTACGAATTCTACATAAAAAGTTGCTTTGGAAATGTTTTCACGGAAAGGAACATTTATCAATAAGAAAAAAGTTATGACGACTTTTCGAAAATGCACTTTTTTGAAAAATATCCTGTATCTCTGAAACCGTAGGAGATATCGATATGTTGTTAGGTTTGCGCCATTAAGTTGCTTATAGAAAGTTTCCCTTTAAAAGTGTTCAATTTGGCCCAGTCGGTTAACTTCATCAGTCCAGTTTACCAGTTAATTTTTTATGCCTAAGGAATTCTTTCTAATCTGGCAAAAATTCTATTTGACAGTCCATAAAAATAATATTGAAAGCAATTACAGTAAGTTTATTACTGGTGTATATAAGCATTCGGTCAATTGCAGGTTATTGAATGGTGCTTGAACAGATTTGGACAAGTTTCTATCATAATGGTGGGCATATCTGGTTTAATTTTTTTAAGCTTTAAGCACTTTTTGTACGCTCTAGGCAATAGCTGTCTAATATTACTTATTCAAGTCTTAGTTAGACCGAGAAATTTAAGTTCCAAGTCTTGCAAGAAAAATAAAAAAGACGAGAAATGTATTGAGACATGATAAGTTGTGGCAGAAGAGAAACCAGGAAAGAATGACATACATATAAGTTTTTTCGTGGTATATAAAGTATTATGTATGCAATGTTTTGTTTAAAAAAAAAACACTTCTGTTAAGTTTTTTTTTTCTAAAATTAGATTCAACTAACTAACATATCCTTCTATAAATTTAATTTTATCAATCGATTAAAGTCAAGGTTTATCAGCGTTGTTTATTTTCCGGTCAATTGACCATCATCATCGAGATGTGATCTTCGCGTGTGGCTGCATGTGGTTTTAGTACTTTTTTCCGGTTGACTCGCGACGGCCGCAATTAATATTTGCGCGAGCAATTACGCCCTGGATCGGTCCGCTAACAACTTAATCCCGTACAGTTACTGCTGCTGGTGCTGCGTGCCCCTCGCGTAAAAACCTGAAAGTTTTCTGTGTTCACTGCGGGTTTAATAGCTTTCGGCGATCGGCCGACCTTCGTAAATCGTCCGTCTCGCGCGATGCAGTTTACGCCCAAACGTTGTAACGTAAAGTTGGTGAGAGTATAACATTTTCACTCCGAGAAAAGTTCGACGATTTTAAACTTTGAAAATATTTTTCGTATAAACTTTTCATACCAAGCAACCATACGAGATGTGTTTAAAACTTTAACGATAAGAAAGTTGACTTACTAACACCGTTTTCGTGTTGAGATTTTTTCACAAAATTTTAGATTTTAAAGAAAAAGAATACGGTAAGTGAATAAGTAAAGTTAACAAAGTGTGAAAATAACTTCAAATATAGACGGTTTTAATAAATTAATAAATTGAGGTCGTGCAATAAATATTCTTTGACAAGCTATTCTTTGTTACAAACACTGTAAACATTAATACTTGTCTATTTGAAATTCAAATATTGCTTAGAAGCGATAAGCGCGTGCACACTTTAAGAAGGAACAGGGACAAATGGGCGAACGGCACGTTTCGTTAATTTATAGTGGACGGTCTTTTCGATGTAAAAAGAACAAAATTTCAAACCGGACTGAGTGCGTAAGCTTTTGATTTACTACGCGAATACCAAGCTCCATAAGCGAACAAACGTTCTCTCCAAGTCCAACTCAAAGTATTCTCTATTCGAACAATAAGTCCACAACACCAAGTTTAAAATTGAACGTTGTCGTGGTTCTTACTTTTCTAATTCCGTAAAGGTTTCAAGAATGAAATGTGTTAGAAATTCCACAACGGTTTAAATTTTTTTTAAATCAATTTTTCTTTGAACTTCTCCTTTTTCTTCTTCTTAAAGAAACAAACATTCTGTTTATGTTTAGATCTCTTTGAAGTTGATTTTCTTTAAAGTCAATTACCGTAAGTTAAACGAGATAAACTCTCAACTAATGGACAAATAGTGGACTTTAAATGATCGTTAAGTGAAAACTGATCTCCGGTTAGAAACTTTAACGTAGGAGTTTTAATGAGTAGTTTACTAAACGCTTAAAACGGAACAGGTGTTCTACTACAAACAACCTTGAAAACATTTTCATTCATCACTAAAACTTAAACTTATATAATGAGTAGGTACAATAAAACTTCGATATAAAGAATTCATACGAGGAAGGGTTATAGCCTGTTATATGAATAATTTTTAACAACAATCTTGTGCAGAATAACAACTAAAACTAACACGGGACCCAGAACTAGAAACATTTGGGTTTAGCTGTACGTCTCGTAAGACGGCTAACCTCAAATGTTTCTAGTTCTAGGTCTAGTGTTAGTTCTAATTTTAGTTGTTATTTAGTACTAGATTGTTGTATATTTTTATTGAATTAAAACTAGAACTAACTATACTTAGAACTGGAAACATTCGGGTTTACCCGTCTTGAGAGACATATGACTCATAAAGGAGAGAACAAGAAAGTCGGATTAAGCGAAAAATGATTGGAAAGAAGCAAATAAAGAAACAATAAAGCAAACAATCAAGTTTGCGTAGGAAATAGAAACAGAAATAAATCTTCCTACAGACAGACTGAATCTGGGGCTTCCAGGACAATGCAGAATTCATCATCACCCCCAAATTTTTAACTGTTTTACAGAATTGTATGATGTTACCATCAAGTGTCAGATGGGTGTTATTGATGGAGTAAAATTTTGTTAGCAAAAGTTTTGATCCGAAAGCAAAATACCTCGAGTTTTTGCGATATTCAAATTCAAGCCTTGGCATCTAGACCAGTCTAGAACACAGCTGCAGATGTATAAGTTTGGAGGTCGTCTGCATATAGGTGAAAGTTGCACTTAATTATCTTAGTGATGCTATTTATGAAGAATAAAAAAAGAAGTCTGTTTGGCTGGAACGCCGTTTGTTCCTCTTCGAGTTTTTATTCTATCTGGATTCTTAGCCAATTTTTGAGTAGAGTTTAAGCGCAAATAGATTCCTCTGTAGTTTTCGCTGTTGGTTGTTTCCCCCTTCTTATGGATCGGCACGATTATATTCTTTTCCCATTCGTGGGGTATTAATTTCAGTATTCCATGTCTGCTGGAATATTTTCCTCAGCTACTGTACTTCTACTGATATACTGTCGTCACCTGCTGCTTTCCCGTTTCATGTTTCGCATAAAGCTATTCGCACTTCTTTCTCGCTTATCTGCTCTTCCTCTAGAAGTGTATTTTTCATTAAACTAAAACTAACACCAGACCTAGAACTTTAGCCGTCTTAAAAGACTTATGGCTAAACCAGCATGTTTCTAGTTCCCGATCTAGTGTTAGTTAACAACTAAAACTAGAACTATCTTCCTTGATTTGTACATTTATTTATTTATTTATTGAAACAAACAGGTTACCCTAATTACATGTTTCAACTAGTTTAATAGTAGAACAACTAAAATCTATAGAACAATATCTACTAAAATCAGGCCGAAATATAAAATAGTGATTAACAACCAACACTTAATCAGTTGACCATAAAACATTTAGTGCTGAACTCCTTGTTAAGTTTAACTCCTTGTTTAATACAGAGAATATTGGTAATGAGTTTCTTGCTGATACTTTATTATATAATGTTACCATCTTATTTAATGGTGAGTTTCTTGTTAGTTCCGTAGAGAAACGCTTTATATTAAACAAAGCCCTAGCGCGACCAGAATATGCAGGGACATACAAACCAACACCTCTCAAAGTTGATGGAACATCCACTTTATTGTTTAGTATCTTATACAAATAACCAAGACGTATCACACCCCGTCTGACCGACAATTTTGTCATATCAAAATATCTCCGAGCGAATTCATAATACTGAAAACCAATAAATCTTTTGTATTGTTTGTAGAAAATATATTTAATAAATTTGTTTTGTACTGTCTCAATGATATTCGAATGATAGGCTGTTCCTGGGTCCCATACCACAACAGCATATTCCAGTTTTGAACTAATTAATGAAATATATAGGTACTTTACGGTATCAATATTGAAAAAGGAGTGACAGTTTCTTATAATAAATCCTAACAACCTTAGAGCTGATGTAGTTATAGCTTTTACATGCTCGTCAAAGTTAAAGCTTTATGTATATATTACTCCTAAATCTTAATAAAATTTTTATAAACAATCGGTACTTTCTTTAAAGTGAATGTAATTTTTTCACATTTTTCCGCATTAAGGTGGAGCCTATTCTTGTTGCATCAAATCATTAGTCTTCTAAGATCAGATTGTAGGCACACACAATCATTTTCATCACGTATACTTTGAAACAGTTTTAGGTCGTCAGCAAATAGTAGGCATTCAGATTCCTTTATAATGGACGGCAAGTCATTAATAAACAATAAGAAGAGTAATGGCCTTAGATTACTCCCTTGCAGAACACCACAGTTTATTTTAAATTTTTGCGACTCACTATGTTTATAACTAACGTACAAATGTCTGTTTGCCAAATAAGATACAAAAAAATTTAAAGTTTGTTTGGAAAAACCATACAAAGCTAACTTGTCTAAAAGTACGTCATGATTCACTTTATCGAACGCTTTAGCAAAGTCAGTGTATATAACGTCAACCTAACCTTTTCCATCCAATTCAGAACTAACATATTCATTTAAGATAATTAAGTTTATTTCTACAGATCTATTAGGGATAAATCCATGCTGGTTAACATGCAATGCCTCTTTGACGTGATTGAATATTCTAATATACAGGGTGATTCAAATAAGAACCGACACAGAGCAGGGACATGTATAGGACAATAAATTAAGATGATTTAACGCAACTTATCTCTATACCAAGTTGTACCTCTGAGGAGTTATAGGCCTTCAAAGTTAGGTCTTAAATTTTTAAAACATTAAATATCTTCGTAATACATTAAGCTAGAAAAACCAAATTTGGTATACGTTATGAGTGTAACAAGGGTATTTTTTCCTAAATTTTCTGTCCTATATTTTGACAGATTTTTTTAACCTTTTTGTGGATTTAATACATTATAGAATAAAACTATAACTAAAACTTTTTTTACTCTTACTATTTTTTAAAAAACATTGTCGTTTTCATAATAAACTCAAAAAACTAAAGACGCGTATCTTATTAATGCTACTTAAAATCATGGAAAATTCAGTAGTCGGCTGTGAAATTGTACGTAATTTTAGGAATAAACTGTTTATTATGAGCTAAAAAGACATCATCCATAAACACATTTAGTTTAGGCATAATAATTTTCTAGTGATAAAGAGAAAATCCCCAAAATGTCAAAATTAAGTACTTTTGGTTTTAAAATCGAACATAACTCAAGAATGAAAGGTGATGACGAAAAGTTTTTTAGGAATAAATTGTTTATTATGAACTAAAAGGACATTACTCATAAACAGATTTGGTTTAGTTATAATGATTTTCTAGTGATAAAGAAAAAATCACCAAAATGTCAAAATTGAGTACTTTTGGTATTAAAATAGATCATAACTCAAAAATTAAAGGTGATGGAGAAAAGTTTATTTGAAATAAATTGTTTATTATGAACTAAAAGGACATTACTCATAAACAGATTTGGTTTGGTTATAATGATTTTCTAATGATAAGAAGAGAAAATCATCGAAATATCAAAATTGAGTACTTTTGGTATTAAAATTGATCATAATTCAAGGATGAAAGGTGATGGAGAAAAGTTTTTTAGGAATAAGTTGTTTATTGTCAACTAAGAAGACATCATCCATAAACAAATTTAGTTTAGATGTAATGATTTTCAGGTGATAAAGAGAAAATCCCCAAAATGTCAAAATTGGGTACTTTGGGTATACCAAATTTGGTTTTTCTAGCTTAATGTATTACGAAGATATTGAACTTTTTAAAAATTTAAGAGCCAACTTTGAAGGCCTATAACTCGTGAGGTGTACAACTTAGTATAGAGGTAAGTTACGTTAAATCATCTTAATTTATTGTCCTCTACATATCCCTGCTCTGTGTTGGTTCTTATGTGAATCATCCTGTATATAATGCTTTCGAAGACTTTTGCAAAACAGGATATTATTGAAATTGGTCTATAATTGGCGATTTCACTTACAGAACCGGACTTGTGTATAGGTACAACCTTCGCCCACTTCCTATCTAAAGGAAACGTACAGGTGGAAATTGCTAGGTTAAAGATAATAGAGAGACGCAATACCAAAAACTCTTTGCAAACTTTTACGATATAAGGGGGTATATTATCAGGTCCTTGTGCCTTTTTTGGCTTTAACTTTTCTTATTGCTTCCAATATTTCATTATTCGAAATAGGATTAAATGTAAATATGTTCAATCATCTAGACAACTCGGGGAATACCCCAAGTTTATCTATAAACCTAAAATACAGCAACTTATGGAATACCCCAAATTGGATTCTATTTATAAACGCTAACATTTATATTTAAATATAATAATAAAAACATTTTCCTTTTTGTTTCAGATTGAGGGAAAAAAATTCCACATGAATTCGTCATCGTTTTTAATCTAGTCAAATTCTTATAAATTAAAAATGATAGAATAAAAGAAACCGAATCAATATGTTTTCCAAGAAAACCATTTTAATAGCGATTGGTGTCGTTTTAGTAAACATAGCAATAGCGGATATTTCTAGAAATTCGAGAACACGAAAACAATCATCCAATTATAATCATCAAACGTTAAAAAAGCCGAACATTATCCTGATTTTAACGGACGATCAGGATGTTGAGTTGGGTTCGATGAATTTTATGCCAAAGACAACGAGATCAATCAGATACAAAGGAGCCGAATGTAGACATGCTTATGTAACGACGCCGATGTGTTGTCCTTCAAGATCTTCACTTTTAACTGGAATGTATGTGCATAATCACAACGTTTATACAAACAACGATAATTGTTCTAGCACGCATTGGCAAACTTATCATGAAACAAGATCATTTGCTACTTATTTGTCTAATGCTGGATATAGAACAGGTATGTAATTTTAAGTTTTTTTAAAACTTTTCTAAAAAAACGTATTAAGAAGTCTCAGAACGATATCGCGTCCTTCCAAGAACGTTGTCGATGGTCTGTTACAGGATTCGGGTCGACTTCTTTCGATCTTGTTAGTTTTATTTCCTTTCTGTTTCGTTGCTTTCGTGATGACTGGCGCCTGCGGTAAGGCCTAAGGTGCACGGAGAGTTTCGTGACCGGGCGGAAGAAGGGCCCCTAAGGCGGTCGGTCGGAGACCCGACCGGAGGCGACGGCGGCGGCGGTCGGGGCATCACGGCCATTGTGCGCGCAAACACCGTGTATAAAATGGTTTAATTTATCGCGAGACGATCGCCGACCGATACCGCCAGACGAACCGTCGCCTTTCTGTCTCCAACTCACCTTTGCCCCCCTCTAAACATTGTACCACAAAAAGACCGCAAACGAACTTCTAACGGTTCAACTATACCTGCTTAGGTCAGAAGTTAGTCAGAGGAAAATTTTAATTTATCGACTAAACAATATCATATTACAAATTATTTTCTCTCGATGTGTCATAGTGTTAACCCTACCGTTAAGAAGACATTGAACCTAAAATTTTCCCCTCAATGATGATTCATTCTTTATGCCCTGATTTATTTGCTTTTTTTTTTAAGGCAAAACCCACTATTTCTGGAGTGCGGGAAGTTAGCCCCCCATTTTTTGATTTTTACATTTTTTATTGTTGTTCTAGATTGTTCTAGAGTTGTTCCACATTGTTCCAAACCGGCAAACCGAAAAAACGGGTTTTTTGACTAGCCCCCCATTATTGGAAAAATCAATTTTTCTTTGTTGTTCTGGGTTGTTCCAGTTGTTCTAGTTATTGTTCTAGAAAATCAAAATTATGATATACAGCATTATAGAAGTTATACCTAAAAATAGGTTTGGCCGCCTAAATGTCTAGTTGATTGCTGTGACCATAGTTTTTCTATTATCAATTCCATATTACAAATATATACTTATTATAGCTAACGCTATCTGGAACAGCTATTATTTTCACTAGAACAATTCTCTAAAGAGCACTTTACTGTTTCAAAATTAAAGTTTTTGGAAGTTCAATCAGTAATTCTTGTGTCAGCAGTTTTATAGAACAATCTAAAACAACTCAATTAGATATTATTTAATGACTTACAAAAAAAATCCGTACAAGTTAAAGAAGGTACTGAAATAAATGTACAGGTGTCCCGTTAAGCGTACGGAGCGGCTGTATCTCAACAACGGTAAGGCCTAGAGGTTTGGGAAAAAAATCCTTATAAGCAAAGTGGGCAAGAGAAATAGGAAGTTAGTTTGAAGTTCGTAATTCGACCGCTAGGGGGCGTAACTGCCATTGAGAAACATAAAGTTCCCGCTATCTCAGAAACTTAGACGATGAGCTATAACTTTGACAACATCATTTAATAGCTTTTTACATCAGCTTGTGGACAGGTGCTTCATGCATCCATAGCATTTGTGATAAAAGGTTTGGATTTGCCCAAATCATATTTAAAAGTCAATGGTAATAGTTCAGTCTATTATCATAATCGGTATCTGTTAAGGCATGATGTAAAACAACGTGGTGGAGATATTATTCTCTTGAGAACTCTTGTGGACAATTGTTTTCGGAGTTCCCAGATTATGTGGGATCACATTGCGCACCAATGTGATTTACGAATTCATAGAGATGTCTGAATGGGCTACACGTTGCCAGTTTTCCGTAATCGCTAAGTCAATCTTAAAAACACTTCTAGAGAAAAATGTCTTTCTTTGTCGTAATTGCATTGCACATTTTTGCCATGCAGTTGCATCGTATTCGAAACATTGAAAATAAATCATCATACGCTCTATCATACGCTTCTGCGTTAGTAAATGACATGTTTACAGTTACCATGGTTATGTGATTTGTTTTTCTCGATGAGGTAACTGGATCCGATTGATGGCACTCGAGTTTTTAACATTTTCTTCTATAACTCGAGAACGGGTGGCGATATCGAGATGCGGTTTTCACTAAAATTTAGCAAATTTTAAGGTGACT